ATACATTCTTACATACACACACACACACACATATATATATATATAAATGTATGTATGTATGTATGCATGCATGCATGTATGTGTGTATATATATATATGTATATGTACATGTACATATATATATAATGTACATGTACATATACATATAGATGTATATGTAGGTATGTCGACCGATGCTTAAACACATGCTAGGCTTAGTCACGAGGTGCGACAGGTCCAGGTGTGAGGTACAGTAGGCCAGCCAGTTTTGCAAGAGAGGGTCGTGCATGAGTTTGCCATGTGTGTGCGTGGTTCCTTCGTCTGCAGGCCTTCCACGACCGTGGCTTGTTCGCAACGAGTGACCTGGACGTCACTGACAGATGCTTGCGTTTTGAGCTTGCGAGGCCGAGTGATGGGCGTGATGCTCGAGAAGCTCGAGGCCAGAGTTTCAGGTGCGAGCCCAAATCTTCCTCCGGCCTTCGGAGGCAAACCAGGCAATGGCCTCGCCCGTCCGGAGCGAGCCATGTCAAGCCGACATCGAAGCAGGCACGCTCGCCATCACCCCAGTCCCCAGGCCCTGTGGGCTCCTCTGAGCCGCACAGGTCCATGCACAGGCCAACGAGGCGGCCTGCCTCTTCCAAAGGCTCGGTGCCCGGGGGCGGTGAGGACAAACCCACAGCTAGGCGCGACGGCCGATGAACCGAGGCACAAAGAAATCAACCGACTCGGCTAGAATCAAAAGAACTGGCCCGTTCTCGAGCTGCTAACTGGCTACAGACTGCCTTCGTGCTAACATCTACAAAAGGAGCGAGTGGGGTCAGAGGAGACGAAAGGTGGACATCAGTGAGCGTTGTGAAGGCCCGGCGGACTGGAGCCCAGGGTTGTTAGAGGCACCCCGTAGGCCAAAGCATGGACAGAAAGCCTTGATCGTGGAAGTTTTGATACCGCGGGACGCCCAGAGCATCCGGGCAAGTCGACAAGACGATGAGGGCCTGGCTTAAGCGTGCCGTGGCCGAGACTTTGATGCCGGGAAACCGCAGAAGCGCCAACCCACCCCTACGGATCCAGGAGAGCCCACCCATCGATGTTTGGCTTCCTTATACAGGCTCCCGCCCCCGCCGGTCGCGTCTCGAAACTTCTCTGAGCTCGAATCCCGTTCAAGTCTGCAGACGTTCCGCATCGGCATGAGGCTCTTTCTGAACGCAAACGCCACCTCATCCGTCATTTGGATAACATTGGAATGCCTTCGGTGATGTGCGAATGTAGACTACAATGTAACAATGTAGACAGGTTGGGTCGAAACGACTGGGTGGCATATGATGCATCTTATGGCACGTGCAGAGATTGCCAGGGTAGGCTTTGCAGATGCCGTGGGAGTGCGCCTCGGGCTGGTGTTGTCTTCCGGGGCTTCGGCCATCATCGCGGGGCTTTAGCCTTCTTTTTCGGCAGCGGAACGACCGCGGTACTTGCATCTTGCATTCTCTTGCATTCTCTTGCATTCTCTTGCATCTCTTACGCTTTCGTGACAGGAGAGCTTCATCAGGAAGCACGGGGCCGGCCTCCAAGCGCACGCAACGCTGCCACCTCCCACGCCTCCCCGCCGTCCCGTGATCGAAGCAGAAGCCATTGCCTCGGCCACCTTTTTATTGGGGTCCTTGCCTCGTGTGTTTGGTGTGCTGCGTGTGACTTCGTCTAAGGTTTCCGGAGCCACAAGTGGCCGGCAGCAGGTGGAGAGATGAAGGACTCGTCAGACTCCTTCAGTTTTTGCCCTGCCTCCTCCGTGGAGCTGAAAGCCGCAGGTGCTTCTGCCGAACCAGGTTGCAGAAGACCTTCATCAAGACGGGGTCTTGAAAGACATCGCCAGCAAATCGAAGGCAACGTGTCGACGCTGAAAGTCTAGCTTCTCTAGACATCTCTAGACTCCAAGAAGTTTCCAAGACTCTAGACGGTCTAGAAGAGTGCAGGCGACCTGTAAATATCACTTGTGTCAGACAAGGAGCGCCAAGCAGTGTTGTAAAGGTACATTGTGCCAATGGTGTTCTTGATAGCGAGTCACTTGTCCAAAAGGCGTCCGTGGACCTGATGGAAGCTGTGGGCGAGTTCTGTCCCGAGATCTAACCAGCCTTGCCATTCCACTCACGGCTCTCTCTGCTTCCGGCTTTCGACGGAGGCTGCACCAGTTCGTTGAAGGGCACCGGCTGCTCATCATCCGTGGGCAAGCAGGAAGCGAGCTTCAGGCAGCCGATCTCTTAGCAGTTCTTGGCAGTCACAGTTCCTGTGTTTGCCTCTGATTCTGCCGGCTGCCGGAATTACCATGCGGAGCCTTTCCGAGGCAGTGGAAGACTTGCTCGGCAAGGCACCTGGGGTTGCTTTTGCCGCGTCTGTCAGCGTTGACTCCGAGCAGGCAAGATTGAACGGTCGAGCGCACGGTCCAGGCCAGAAGCGTGATTCCGGGGCGTGACGGTTGTCGAAGATTGCTTATGTAATGCACTGTCGGCTACAAGCGCGTACATTTGCCTGAAAGGCGGCTCGAAGCTGAAAATCCTCCTTCCCAGGCCGGTCTGCAGGTTCGTTCCGCAAGAAAAAGCTCGGCTAGACCCTGGAAGAATGCAATAGGCACCTCGCTGCCGTGGTCATCGGCAGAAGAGGGGCGAACATCAAGGAGCTCTCCCAACAGCAGCTTAGAGTCTCAAATGGCAAGATCAAAATGCCTGTGGTCAGGACCTTCAAAGAACGACAGGCACCAGCGTCCAGGCGAGCTGCTAGGTTGGCTTTTGTGCTTGTGCTGCTGCATTGCTGAATGCTTCTGCAGGTGGAGAATGGTTCAACAGGAATGGATCGGGTGCGGTACACAGGGCACGACTTGTCATGAGGGAGGTCTTGAACATGACGGCTTTTGAGGTGGCCACGGTGTGTGGATCTCCCGCAGCCATTTTGAATGCATTGGGGAGGCAGGGGTGATTCTCTTGCCATGCTGCTGCCGTTGCTTGCGTGCGACTCAGGATCCACAGCTTTGGGACGGAGGACGAGGCCATGACCCAGGACCCAAGGTGTCGGCCTGTTTTTACGCATCCAAGCAACTGAGGAAGGGGTTGGCTCCGATGGTCCTGACAGCCACGACCGCCCTTACGGCCATGGCCACGAAAGTCCTTTCCAAAGCCGTTCCGGTGATCATTCCGGCCCTTATCGCCACGATGGGCCCGATGGCCGTGATAGCCGTCATGGTGTCGACCCTGACGGCCCCCAAGCTGAGAGGGATGGGCGCCCTTGCTCGGACGAGGCGTGCATCTGATAGGTGGCAGCAGTTGTGGCCTGCAAACCCCGATGCCACGAGCTGCCCAGGAGGAAGAATCGTTGGAGGATAACAGGCACTCACCGGGCTGTCAGTTGTCGTTCTCATGATCATGCAGTGGGAACATGACATCACCGATTCAGAGGCATCGCCCCGCAGGTATTCATAATCACGATGTCGCCGATGGTTTCCACGGGATGAAAGCTGCAGGAGAGCTACAGCACGTGGCAAAGAAGATGTGGAGAAAAAGACGCCGACAACGACGACGAGGAGGAGGAGGAGGGAGGAGGAGGAGGATGAGGATGCCAACGACGACGACAAGGAGAAAGACGGGTGATGGTGTTGATGTCGATGGTGGGTGATGGCGGTCCACCGGCTGCTGTCGCGGTTGAGGCAGGCAGAGGTGGGATGAGGGCTTCGGGTGGGTGCAGGTGGTGGGTGTGGGATTCGTGGTGCCGGCTTCTGATTCTCTGAATCTGGGGAGTTGTGCCATGGCGGCAGGCGGAAGAAGAGAAAGCCACCTCCAAAGCCAGCAGCTCCATGGGAAGTTCGAGAGCATCCAGAGGCTTGGGATGGGAGCTGCTTAGAAGCATCGGCTAGGGAAAAGCTTCCGAAGGCTCCAGGAGAGTTCTACTACCTGAACATGGCCACCTCCCCGTTGAAGCGAAGTGTGCCTGCAGCAGAGCACATATGTAGCAATTTTTTCAGGAAACGGGCGACACGACCTGGGAAAGGCCGGCAGGGAACGCCACTGGCCTGGAGAAGACAGGAAGAGAAAAGAGCAAGAGACGGAGGTTGTTGATTGTTTGCACATGCTTGCACCAGTCTGCTGGATTCGCCGTCTCTCTTTCTGCGCTCTGAGGATGCCAAGCCGTCCGCGCCTCCTCCATGGCGAGTTCTTGAGCATCCGGAGGCACCCGATTTACAAGTCGTTGACCAGCAAGCCAAACCTTCCTGAGACAAGAAGCCTGCAGTGGTGGAACAGCCGAGAGAGCTTGCTACCAACATGTTGTATCACAATTAGAATTCGGAGGCACCAGGAGAATTCTACTATCTCAACGAGGCCACGTGCACACTGTCGGAGGGTTGCGTTGATCATTGCATGCTCTTGAGAAGCCGCAGGACACCGGTGAGACCTGCTGGGATTTGCCAGAAGGTGTAGCGACCTAAATGCAGCGAATGTCAAAAACGGGAACATCCAACTGCTTGAAGCTGCCACTGGCAAGTCTGTTAGTCTTTCTGACTCGTGCTGATGGTGACGTCGGCTCAGAGGAGGTGATACATTCAAGGACGTGTTGGAAGGGTCCACTAGGGATTGCTTCAGCAGGAGTCGTTTAAGCATGTGTTCGTAGCCATGGCCATGGCCATGCCCTCAAGTGGATTGCTGGCAAAGCCCGTTCCAAGGCAAGGAGTCCGGCCTGAGGCATCCTGCAGTGCTGTTGCTGAAGGCATGCAGCCAAGCGGCGTCGGCTCGAATATCCCTCCTCCTTGGGCTGAGGCCGCTTTGGTCTGAGTTGCAACCCGACAGCCGCTATGATCTGCTATTGCAAGGTTGCTTTATCGATTTATGAGCTGCACGGCACATCCGCTCTGAACTTGCTCACCAGAGCAGCAGACATGGGAGGCTGATCAGAGCTGCGTGTCGTGTGTTGTGTTTCTTCTCAGTTTCTACATCAACTCTGTTTCTGCAGGCGCTTACCATGTCGGTGTTGAGGCCATGCCGAGCAGTTGGCTTCAGCAGTCGCGATAGCAAAGATCCAAGACTACAGGTCTACTGGCTCGAATGGTCTTTCGGATGGTGCGAAGAGGGAAGTGGCGTTTACATGGTTGCGGACTCAGCGTTTGCGAAAAAGGCTCCAAGTGGGACCTCCAAAGTCGTTTGTGAGGTTTTTCCCGGGCAAAGTACGCTTGGTACCTTTCGTGAGCGAGTTCCGCTGGGAAGAACACCGCTTTCGCCAGATGAGGCCTTCGACCCAGCTGTTTTGTCATCTCGCAGTCGAGCATGAAGAGCACAACACATCTCCAGGTTTTTCGCGTCCTTGACAAAATGCGGCAAGGGGCCAAGGGAAGACAGTTCGCCTCTCTCCGACATGAGACTTGGGGAGGCTTTGAAGGTGGGTCGTTTGTCTGAACGTCACAGGCAGGAGCTGCCCGGCTCCAACTATGACCTGCTACGTCTGTGTCTCGGCTAGCGGTGTGCGATTGTGTAAGCGTTGTGCATCAACTCCTTGTACATGGTGCACCATCAAGTTCGGCGCCCTTGAAGAAGCCCAATCGTGTTGCAAAAGGTCCGTGTGGCGTTTCTAGTATTCTGAAGCTTTCGTGCGATTCCGTGGATAGTTGCATAACCTTCAAGCTGATGCGCAATGTGTTGCATGTCGTACCATACTACATGCTTGTAACAACGTTGGTCCTCAAAGATCCATAGACTGAGCGGGTGCAGCAATTAGCACTCCGACCTCAAGCCAAGGGCCAAGGGCAACCAATGCGACGCCCCGTAATGACGCACCCGCAGCAACTTCAGAACTATGCTGGGTGCAACGAGCAGACGGCGCAGATTGGTGCACGTTGTGACTTGAAGTTCACCGAACTTCGAAGCAACAGAAATCAGAAATCGGGGTTTGCGGGTTCGCGCTTTATTCTAGCTGTCAACAGGGACTTCGTCCTTGACCTGCATAGAAGCGAAGAGGAGCTCCGCTGAGCCGCTGAGGCTGTAACTGTGCGCACTTCAGCGTCTCCTTCGTCAAGCGATTGCGAGTCAGCGAGGCGCCTCGGCTTGGGCCATCTGTCTGCGAAGCAATCTTCTGCTCTCTGCGCGCGAGGCACCTTCCTGGGTGAACTCTTTGGCGAACGTCGGCGAACACCTGGTTGGACAGCTCGGAATGGCAGGCAGGAGACAGGCACCCAAAAATGTCTGGGAACACCGACCATTCCTCATTGCGGCAGGTGCTCAGGCAGCGGCTGCAGCGGCAACCCCTGCCGAGTCGCCGTGGGCCAAGACACGATCCCCCGTCTGCCCGCCTGTGATGTGAGTAGTCTTGCCGTGCCCAGAAGCGTCCGCAAACGTCAAAACATGCGATGAACTCCTCGAACTTTAGCGGAGACGTCCCAAGATGTGAATCGCCAAGCAGACGCTGAACACAGGGGGAAATGTTTCTTTGGAGCTTGTGCCGACCACAGCCGGCGATGTAGTACAAGAAGAGGCTGTTCGGAAAGACAGGTGGGCCGTGGCCCGCCTAGCATGTCAGCTTGCAGACATGGTCTTGAGTCATCCGCAGCCCTGGGCAGGGCACCCCTCACTTGTAGTTGGCCTAATGTGGGTTAGTTCGATGGATATAAAGGGGAGACAGTGGAGACTCGAACAACGTGCCCTCCGTCCAGCTGACTGCTGTCGCAGATCGCATGGCATCCGCTGAATAATCACGTGACTCGAGTCGCTTTTTCAAGTCGATGCGGACAGAGTTTCGATGTGTTTCGATTGTTGAGACTCGGCTGGGGCTGTTGGCATCTGTTGGGGCTGCTGAAGTCCGAGTGCTGGGGGAGAGACTTCTGTCACAGCTCCGACACGTGCTGTTCCTGCTGAGGGACCGAGTGGCCCCCAGATACGTGCATTTTGGCATGGCTCCCGGCTTCACCAGTAGCCAGCCGCGATCCTGTCTTCGCCCAAGTGTGCAGGTGATGAAGAGGAGCTCGAGGATCTTGCGGGGGATGGCGATGATCAGGCAATGCGGGAGCTAGCCTGGCGGCGTGCCCAGGCCAGCGATGCCTTGCCACCAAATTGGCGACATGCTAGCACTCGGCGTTTGACGAAGGCCTTCGTTTCCGAAAAGTTGGCAGAAGCTGAGAGGGACGCACGCTTGCTGGACTTGGCGATGGAGCTCAAGTGGAGCGAGCCTAGCATGTAGGACGAGGACTTCAGAGTTGTGTTATCACCACTGGGTTTTCGAACGTGCATGCACGTTACGTGCCAGCTCCGACCACGGAAGACGTGGAACAGACGGCAGCGAGAGTCTCCGAAGTGCTGCAGGACCCCAGGCGCGCATCTTGTCTCGTCGTGTCCAGAAGTGACTCAGCGTACTGTCATGCGGAGTCGCAAGAGTTATGTCTGGAGACGTCTACCAAAATGCACTGCCATTTTGGTTGTAGTGCCGGGACCTCAGGTCCCTCAGAAGTTTTACCAACTTTCGCTCCCTTTTCTCTCATCAGCATGGAGACTGTGGCAAACATCCTTCAGCCACGTGAGGATCGTGACTCGGATCAGGAATGGGAGAAATTGCGGCAGGAAGGTGCCATCGCAAGGGCGACCCTCCTCCACAATCTTCAAGTTCACGAGGATGAGGAGGTCAACTCGGTGCTGTCCTCCCTCTCCCAGGTGGATGTTGATGATGCACCCCTCTTCGAGAAACTCAAAGAGGCCAACTTGGTTATGCAGGGGGACGACCCGGTCAAGGTGGTCGAGATCGCCAAGGACACCGATATGCAGGGTAGCCCTTCGTAGGTCCTAGCCGACCCCGATGGACACGGTCCCGGTGGAGGCCACGGCCGTGCCCGCTACAGGTAACTGGCCGTGCCGCCCACTGACCTTTCGGATGTCACCATGACCCTGGAGGTCTCCTCCTCGTCGAAGTTGGCCCCCGGGGTTTTGGAAGAGACGCTCTACTTCCTCGAGGGCTTCCCTGCAGGCTTTCCAGGTATCGGCAAACGGGCTGCAGACCAAGCAAAGCAGCTCATCCAGGCGGAGCTATCCGAGATTTTCTCCAGCCTGCAGACAAAGATTTGGACCCGGGCGGCGTGGAAAGGGTCTTCGAGGTTTACCAGATCTATAAGAAACAGTTGCGGCAGGACCGCCTCAGCCTCTTTTCGGTGGAGTACAGGCACAGCAAGAGCGAGGCTTTGCGGACTTCTCCTGCCGACACGTCATCGCCATGGACAAGGGCTTCCCCATGCGCTGAGATCAGGCTGGGTGAGGTGAAGTGGCTGGATGTCACCTGACAGCCGGACTCGGATACAGCAGTGGCCAAGAGCTGCCGTCAGCTTTGACCAGGTGTTTTCGGCCCTGAGGCTCTCGCTCGCCCACATGGTGGCCTTTCGACGAGGTGACATTCGTGGATAAGCCGGAGGGGGAGCGCCCAAGCGCCTGCTCAGGAGTCCACAGGGGGGAGATGTACCTTAAGCGCACGTTCAAAGGTACCTGCAGACGGTGAGGTTCTGGCTGCTGTTGTACGCCACAGGCTTTCTTTCCCTGGTGTTGCTCCGGTGGGGGTCCGAGACTCCGGGTGCCTTGGGCCCTGACTGTCCGGACCCCCAGCCCAGGAGCAGTTTTGGACGGAACCTTCGACCGAAGGGTTTCGGCTCTGGGAGTCGGCAGCCACACCCATCCACCATGCAAAAGGTGTGCCTTGCTGCTGCATCGTCTTGCCTGTTCCAAAATCATAAAAACAGGTGTTATGCATCCCTAGTGGCCTAGTCACACATCTACGAATGAAGCTTGGGCGCTCTTCAGGCTGATGCAAGCACTAGCAGAGGTTGGGCTCCTTGGAGCAGTGCAATTCTTGTTTGTGCTGGTGCTTGAGCAAAAGGGTGACGATGCACAGGCCTCAGCTGCTGGGTTTGGCCTGCCTTGCCCGTTCCTCCGGGAGCAGGAGGTAGCTTGGCATTGTGATCCCTGCCGACCTTATGCACCTGCCTCCAGTTTCTGTGCTTCGCGCTGCTCCGAAGAAGGTTTTTTGCTAGTCAGTTTTGCATAGTTGTTTGTGTGAGGCAGGCTGGTCACTTCTCGGAGACGATTCTGAAGAAGAGCTCGAGGAACCTTGCTCATTGATTGTTCATGATCTTGATCATTCCAGACTTGGAACCAAAGGAGGACGGCTGTTGCGGGAATCTGGAAGTTTTGACCTGAGCTGAGTTCGTTTGGAACAGTGCTGGATGCGAAGAGTCTGCTTCTGTGAGGTCCGCAAGTTGTTGAAGGGCCAAGGACGACTAGTCACTGTCAGAGTACGCCTTCGTGGTACGGCCCTGAACGAGAAGGCGCACCATGGGCATGGAAGCACGTTTCCAATGCGAGCATGGCCTGGCAGGGAGCAGCGCCGGCCTGGCGCGGTGTGAATTTCCGCGAGGCCCTCCGTCTGGCCGTGGCGCCCAAGCGAGGCTGGCAATACCGAGCTCGGTTGCTCTTTGCGGGCGTAGGCCAGCTTGTGTAGCCAGGACTTTCGATCCGTTGGCCGGCGAAGCGCTGGCATGGATTCATGGATGTGCTTTGTTTGATGTGGCTGTGGAGCCATGCAGTGTGTGGAGATTGACAAGATCTGCTTGTGTTTGTGGTGCTTCAGTGGTGCTTC